GCCAACCATTAGCATGGACTATGAACTGTCAGACCACTTTTGAAAACTTAAAAAGACTATTTGCTGTTGAACCGGTCTTAAAGCATCCCTGTCCAGGGAAGCCCTTTGTAATTCAAGCCGATACCAGCGACGTGGCTGTCGGAGCTGTGCTACTACAAAAGAACCAGAGTGGGACCCTACAACCCTGCACTTACACCTTGAAAAAATTCACTGATTACAAGAGGAGATGGGCTGTGTGGGAAAAGGAGGCTTTCACAATTCACTGGGCTCTATTAAACTGGAGACACTATCTAGAAAGGAGCAAGGTGTCTTTCGAAGTATGGACTGATCACAAAAATCTAGAAGCACTGAAAGCTCCCCGCAAATTGTCCCTGAAACAAGTGCGATGGGTGCAGTACTTTAACCATTTTAACTTCACTCTAAAGTGCTCTATCCAGACTGCCCCAATATAAAAGCCAGCGCAAAGAGGTTAATGAGGCAATTATCTTCAATCCACAAACAGCTTATCAACTCACGCTATGCAGCATCCCACCTTTAAGAGCCCCTAACCCTGATGACCCTGGGGCAAAGAAAATAAAACAAGAGCTCCTCACCGACCAATGGTTCAAGGACAATCAAACCTCCCTAACATGCAGGGATGGTTTGACTTACAAGGGAGGAAAGCTATACTTGCCAGAGACTCTTTGCCTTAATGCTCTCCAATATGTCCACAGCGTAAAACAGGCTGGACACTTTGGATATTTAAAAACACTACACCTAATTTGCCGGCAATTCTGGTGGGCAGGATTGAAATGGGACATGGAAAGCTATGTCCAGAGTTGTGCAGTATGTGCCACCATGAAAAGAATTCCGGGGAAACCCCCTGGGTTATTGCAACTGGTGGCAGATTCTTCTCAACCATGGGAAGAAATTGCTATGGATTTTATAGTAGATCTACCTGAAAGTAGAGGAAATACAGTCATCTGGACTGTGATAGATCTGTTCTCAAAGCAGGCTCACCTCATCTCCTGCAAAGGGCTCCCATCTGCCCAACAACTGACCAAAATGTTCTTGAAACACATCTACCGGCTGCATGGTGCACCTAAATGAATAATTTTGGACAGGGGGATGCAGTTGACAGCTAAGTTTTGCAGAAGATTTCTCAAACTAATTGGCTCATCTCAAGGTCAATCATCTGCTTTTCACCGGTCTATAATGGAGTGGCTGAATCTGCAAACTCAATGGTGGAGCAGTATCTCAGATGCTATGTTAGCTACCAACAGACGAACTGGACTGACCTCCTCCCTTTTGCGGAGGTGGCTTATAATAACTCTGTTCCCAGCAGCACTGGCTTCACGCCTTTCAGAGTAGCTATAGGAAAAGAGTTCAGCCCGGTACCCGAATACCCCAGGTGCCTTCCGCTTCCCAGACACTTGATCAATGGGTGAGGGGTGGGAAGAAGTTTGGAAAACCATGAAAACTGCTTTAAAAAAACTTCTGAGACATATGAAAAGCAGGCAGATAAACAAAGGGCTCCTCAAAGGACATTTCAAGTTGGGGAAAAGGTTTATCTGTCAACTAAATATTTACGGCTCAAATTACCTAGTAAGAAGTTAGGACCGAAGTTCTTGGGACCTTTCCCCATTGTAAAGATCATGAACCCGGTCACAGTGGAATTAAAACTCCGTAAGCTCTTAGGAAATGTTCACGCTGTGTTCCATTGCAGCTTGTTGAAACCTTATCGGGGTTCCACTTTAAGACCTCCCCCTAAGAAGGCACCCGGACCCCTCGTGGTGGCAGGACAAACTCACTATGAAGTAAAATGTATTCTTGATTCTAGAATTTTTAAAGGGAAATTGCAGTATTTAGTGCAATGGAAGGGATATTCATTGTCTGAGGCCACTTGGGCGAAGTCTAGTGATGTGAAAGTTGACAGACTCATTAATAGGTTCTATAAGAAACACCCTAATAAAGCAAGAGGCAATCCCTAACCTGTGCTTTTGTTTACATTACAGGATTTGTCCTTTTTGTAAGGGGGGCCAGATGTCAATGCTGCTAACATCGGATGTTTTGCATTGACAACAGATGAAAATGTAGCCATCTTTTTCCCTTTCGCTTTTAGAGTTAGATGATGCTGGGAGGGGGGGAAGTGAATGAGAGTCTAGCTAGAATAACAACACTAAAGGTAGCATGAGAATCAAGTTTATTGAACCCAGAGCTGATAAAGAATTGGTGGGCTGGAGAACAGGAGAGGAAGCCCGTGCTTCAAGCTAATTGGGGAATGCGATTTATGACTGTTAATTGGAGGAGGGAATTATGCTTTAATACTATGTATCTGGGGGAGGGGAAATCAGTTTTTGGCTTTGATTATGTAGTGCCAATATTATGCTACTCAGATAAAAGATTCTTTAGGTAAACAATGTCTCAAAGTCCTTTTGAAGAGTTTCATCTGTCGGAACCATGACATCCGGCTTATTTCCCATTTCGGAAGGGTAGGTGTGAAGCCACAACAACACCACTACAAGCCTGGGAAAGACTGGTATTATCAGCAGCTTTCCCACAACGGACTTAACACCTGAGGATTGGCCCGTTCAAACTGACCGGATGAACTATTGGGATGCGGTTTGCTGGGGACTCTTTTAACCTATTGATCTGAGTGGGAAACCCTCAGATCCTTTCTATTATGCCTGCTATCAGCTTCTTCTAATAAAAGTTCCTTTTGGAAGAAACTGCTTCCACGAGTTCTGCTTTCTTATGATGAGGTATTGAAGTGGGCACTGAAACTTGGTCTATTGTAAGAAATTTTGTTATACAGCTAGTCCTCAACATACAATAGTTTGTTTAGTGACCATTCAATAGCAATAGGAATAACACTTAGGCTTATATACCACCTCACATTGCTTTAAAGCCCTCTCTGAGCAGTTTACAGAGTTAGTATATTGCCCCCAACAATCTGAGTCACCATTTTACCAACCTCAGAAGGATGGAAGGCTGAATCAACCTTGAGGTGGTAAGAATCAAACTCCTGGCAGTGAGCAGTGAGTTAGCCTGCAATACTGCATTCTAACCACTGTGCCACCATGGCTCTTCATGGTTCAAAGTTACAACAGCAATGAAAAAAGTGACTTATGACCATTTTTCACACTTATGACTATTTCAGCATCCCCGGGGTCACATGATCAAAATTTGGATGCTTGGCAACAGGTTCATATTTAGGATGGTTGCAGTGTCCTAGGGTCATGTGAACAGCTTTTGTGACCTTCTGATAAGCAAAGTCAATGGGGAAGCCAGATTCATTTAACAATCAGGTTACTAATTTAACAACTGCACTGATTCACTTAATAACTGTGGCAAGAAAGTTTGTAAAATGGGGCAAAACTCACTTAACAAATGTCTCACTTAACAATGTAATAATAATAATAATAATAATAATAATAATAATAATAATAATAATAATAATAATAATAATAATAATAATAATAATAATAGTAATAGTAATAATAATAACTTTATTGTCACTTTGAAAGTACACCAATCGTCATACATCAAAATGAAATTTCGTTGCATACAGCTCTCAAAGAGTCACATACAGCTCTCAAAGGAACACTCCTTGTTCGTGGCCAGCTCAAGTTACAGATCTTCCATTTTAGTCTCTAGGGAGCCAACGATGGCAAATAGGACAGATGGAAATGGAGCTCTATGTGGATTAGCCCTCAAATTAGCTTGTATTCCTGCACGACAACCTCGCCTCCTTTCCTTTTTCTGATCGTGTCTCTTCCACCTTTTCCTTAAAGAGGCCTCACTCCTTTTCGCCCCTGGAGAATGCTGCCACTGCCACCAACTCCTCCAAAAGCCTCTCTCTCATCCTCTGGGCCTGCCGACAGCCTCATCCAGTTCCTTCGCTCCATAAGGCCCGGGACCTCTCCTCTGCCTCCTTTGGAAACAGCCCTTATTTGCAATAGAATCCGTCACTGGGTCAGCAGTCAGATCTTGCTGCCAGCAGAACAATTTCAAACAGCACCAATGACTTTTAACGGTCTCACCAACAGTTCCGAAACAGCTAAAAACTCGCCATGCCAGCAAAGATTGTCAGTCGTATAAAATATAAATTTTGGGCTCAATTGTGGTTGTAAATCGAGGATTACCTGTATTATGTTTGGTGATCGGTGAGGCATTGATGAAGCAGTAGGTGCAACAACAACTCTTTATTAAGGTTTAAACAGAAGCCTGGATAACTGCCGCTCCACCCCTATTTATACACTCAGCAACAAGGCGGCAGCCAATAGGATTCAAGTATTAGTTCCCGCTTTAAACACAAGTTAATTAGCCTGTAGATAGAAAGTCTGGCACTTAACTGACATAGTCTTATGACCGTTTTTTCAACATTTTCAAGTAATTCACATCAACACATTACACCCCTTCCCCCTAGATAGTTCATAAGGACAAATATTGAACATATTCCCTTAAATACGTTGGTGGCCTTTTCGCTCGTTCCGAATGCCTCACAACCGCCAGAGGCCCCTGGTCTGTCAGCTTGCCTGCCAGGCTTGGTAGACCAGGGCTGTGGGACCCATCCGTTATGTGTAGAATCGAGTCTCTGTGGCTGGTCTGTCCTGGTAGACCCGAGCCAGTGTCTAAAGGTGGAGCAGACTCCACCGGTCCAGAAAATGGAGCCGTCTGCTGGTATTGCCATTGGTTGAATATCAGGGTTTGGGACTAACTCGCCAGTTGCTAGAGCCCCGTCCCTTAGTCGAAGAGTTCCGCCGTTGCTGGCAGATTCTAATGCACAACTGCAATCGTACTGCTCTTGAGTTTGATTGTCACAGACTGTCACTAAAGTCATGAGCTATTGGCTGCTTCGCTAATCTCTGCCGCAGTTGGCCAATGTGCCTGTGTAGCACACGACCGTCTTCCAGGACCACTTCATAAGAAAGTGGCCATGACACCTTACAAACCATGGCTACCACCCACAGTGCCCCTTGCCCGTAGTTCTGTGCCCAAACTGGGTCGCCAACTTGCAATCACTGTGGTGTCTTTGGCTGTGTTGCTTGTGAAGCAACTTTATCTGGATGCAGGCGATCCAGCTTTGTGATCAAATGCCGGCCCCATCTTAATTCTGCTGGGCTTCTGCCCATGGAAGTGCAGGGGGTTGTGCATTGGCAGAGTAGAAAATCTGCCAGTCTATGTTGCCAGTTGCCGGTTACTATCCTCTTTAAGGATTCTTTAGTTGTTCGGACCATGCGCTCCACTTGGCTGTTTGAGGCTGGGTGAAAGGGAGCCGAAGTGGCGTGCCTAATCATATTAGCCCTCAAAAAAGACTGAAATTCCGCAGTGGTAAATTGAGCCCCATTGTCTGAGACCATCAAGTCGGGTAACCCATGTGTGGCAAAGATTCTGCGCAATTCCTGGATGGTCCTGGCAGTAGTCATAGTAGGAACAAGTGTGACCTCTAACCACTTGGAGTGACTGTCCACCACAATGAGGAAGAGTTGTCCCTGAAAGGGCCCTGCAAAATCAACATGGATCCTGAACCACGGGGCTTGTGTGGTTTCCCATTGATGGACTGGGGCGTGGGGCATCTCTGGTCTAGATTGCTGGCAAATGTGGCAGCTGTGTACCTGAGCCTCAATATCTTTATCCAGCCCAGGCCACCAAAGGTAGCTTTGCATGAGTGCCTTCATCCGGACTATTCCCAGATGTCCCTCATGCAGAGATTCTAAGACTCTAGCCCTCTAACTGCTACTCAGGAGTTTTGGAAATCTGTTAACACGAGGTTTGACAGCTTGAGCTTAACTCTTTTGCCGCTGCGATTACAAACGTGTTTGAAAGTTTCCTTATGGCTAATGCTGACCCCGTATCTCGTTCCATGTTGCATGGAACTCCATGTAGCTTGACTTTGAGCCGAAGCTTCTCCCTCAGTGGGCGATGGGCACCTGTTCTATGCACGCTCCTTCTACTGCTGCAATAGCCAACCCTGTGTTGCTATTCCCCGGTACCTTTCCAGGGAAACTCTTCTGGTGGGCTTTCTCTCTGGCAACCCTGACAGACAGCGGTGATGTGGCCTTGTTTGCTACACGCCCGGCAGGTTGCTGTGTGGAACCTGCATTCTGCGCGTTTGTGTCGGCCTCCACACCCTGCACATTGAGAGAAGGGAACTGCCTTGTCAACTGTATGTTGTGACCTTCTTTCTGATGTCTGCTGTAACTGATCGACCTCTTGATCCGATTCAGAGTCTTTGACCCACTGAGCGCCCTCCTGGTGGATGGCCTCTATGCAGGGAGTGCTCCTGGAAAGCCGTAAGGCCTTGATGGCTCCCCCTGTGGCTTCTTCGGCTGTGATCTCCCTTAGGGTGTCTTGGAAAGAAATAGTCTCTTTAGCGAACAATTTCTGTTGGAGTTCCCTGCTTCTCAACCTGCACATTAAGCGGTCTCACAGTCTTTCTTTGAGGTCTTTGAATTCACAGGGTTGGGCCGCTTGATGAAAAGTGGCTATGAACTCGGCAGGTGACTTGCCCAGTCATTGGTCTCTTTGTTCGAAGGCGTGCCTCCAGGCGATGACTGATAGCTTCAGCTCAAAGTGTTCTTTGAGCATTTTTTTGAGTTCGGAATAAGCAATGGACTCAAGTGGAGCTGGAGCGACTAAGTTTTCGGCGATTTCGAACGTCGCACAGCAGCGTTGTGGCCTTCAAGCCATCTTCACGAACTTGGTTGACTCTTAAGTAATTCTCGACTCTCATGACATATGAGCTCCACCTCTTTGGATGTGCGACATCGAATTCCGAGAGTTTCGCGAGTTTGGCCATGATGAGTTGTTTTCGGCCTCGCAATGCCTTGTGCTGCCAAGGCTTCTTTTAATCTCCCAAGGACTGTTCCTTGGGAGTGCTCTTCCTCCAGCATTTTTGTACTGGCAGGAATGGGGAGGGGACATGGTCTGACCAAGTTGTCATCGCTTGGCTTTACCCCCTTAGTGACTCAGTTCTTCGAAGTTGGCAGCACATCCCACCTTTGTCACCACTGTTATGTTTGGTGATTGGTGAGGCATTGATGAAGCAGTAGGTGCAACAACAACTCTTTATTAAGGTTGGAACAGAAGCGTGGATAACTGCCGCACCACCCCTATTTATACACTCAGCAACAAGGCGGCGGCCAATAGGATTCAAGTATTAGTTCCCGCTTTAAACACAAGTTAATGAGCCTGTAGACAGAAAGTCTGGCACTTAATTGACATAGTCTTATGACCGTTTTTTCAACATTTTCAAGTAATTCACATCAATACATTACAACCTGTATATTAAACACTCAGGTACAGATATTAAAAGATTATTTCAGATGAACGTCTTGTCCATCCATCCCAGTACTGCCTCCCTTAACTGAGAATTACTTTTCCAGGTTTGAAATGCAAGTGAGATTTATTCCGATCAGCTTAGCTAGAAATATAAGGAATTGAACCCAGGTACAACTTGAACTCTCTTATTATTGCTTGACTTAAAGTTGAAATATCCAGTATTTTCAATATTTACGAAGGGTTGCAAATGAATTTCATACTCATGTATTCTGTAGAGAATTACATAGTCTACTCAAAGAAACAGATATCTGGACAAGGATATATTGGATAGAACATATTACAAAGTCTATCATCTCTTTTTTTCTGGAAAGGTTAACCAATATATTGGTTTCTGGTTCATTCATTCTATCAACATAACTTCTGACATTTAAACAAAATGTAGAAGCAAATAGAATCAATATATGTTATTTTAAAAGACACAATAATTTTGTGAAAAAGAAGACATCTCTCCCTGTCATTAGAGATTTGTTACATTATTTAATGCATATTGAAATTCAAATGTGTGCTTTCTGAATGATGTCTTGGACAATTGTCAGTTGCAACTCCAAGATTATTCCAATGTTAAATCTCCATTACCCATCTATGGTGGTTCTGTTGGAAGAAACACATAAGCAAACTAATCACATTTTAGCTTAGCATGTTGTGGATACTCAGATACAGTGGAACAGGGTTGAGTTTAGCATCCAGATATAACCATGACAGCTTGGATAGTCAGATTGTATATGTATGTATGTTGAATGGCTTTCTAACTTTTTTCTGGAATCCAGAATTTACTTGTATTATTCTTTTTTTCTTGATTCAAACTAACCTGACCATTCTCTGGCTTCACAGTTGCTGTTTTTTCTATTTTATTGATTCAATTTGTATAGACACCCATCTCTATAAGTGACTCTGGGTGGCAAACCAAAATGAAAAACACTTCCAATCACAAATGCAATTTTGTCATGTAATAACAATGTGCTCTGGTTGTAGCCAAAAGGTTGGCTTAATCACAATATATAAAAACTCATACAAGTAATAGGGAATGAGAAAAGAGAACTCACAATTAATGTTTCTGCTGTTGATACCCCATCTTTCAGAATATTATGTTCAATGATTGCAGTATTTAATTATAATGAGGTTTTCTTAACTCAATGACATTTTCCCCTAAGCTTTCAGCAACTGTTGTGTTTAATCATTTCTGGTATATTTATTCAAAATTCTTTCTCATTAATTCTGCAGTAATCACATAGATGAATGTGGGTTACTGACCATGTTGTTCAAATTATTAATCATACAACATTATGCTTGGAAGATATAATAATAATTTTTATTTATTAAATTGCCTCATTTGAAAAAAAAAGCAAGCAGGTTTGGATATTAGACCTTGTTAGGAAGCAAAGGATGCTTAGATAAATTGAAATCTACATAGCTCAGTTTATTTCTGATAGAATTGGCACCAGAAATGAAATTGTCATTTTCATAAATTCAAACATCATTACATTGCTAGCTTGTCATTTCGTTGCCAGATTATACTTGTCAAAAGTCTTTTCCTTTGTTACTATTGAATATTAATTTCTGAATACAAGAGAGAAATGTTATGTAAAAGCATGAAAAATAAGTCTATACATTGATTAAGGGACTTTTGCTCAAGAGAAATCTGTTCTTCAATGAATAAATGCAAACATCTAGAACAGGGGTGTCAAACTGCCGGCCCGCAGGCCGGATGCATCACGTGGAAGCCATGCCCACCCCATTGCCGGCAATGGCAAAACCAGCCTGATATGTTGCACGATGTTACATGACGTCGCGAGTTTAACATGCCTGATCTAGAACAAAGTTTCTGGCTTCACATCCAAAAAGAAATGTGGTTGTTACTGATTGCCATTATTGCTAATTTTATTTAAATATCCCTCCTACATTATTGTTCATTTTATTTAAATGTCCTACCTGCAAAGCAATTTATAAAATAAAAGAGGAAACATACAAGGACTGGCCAAAGACATGTAGCAGCTTTAAAAGAATGGCAAACAGGTACATGCATTCTGGAGGTAGTAGTTGATTGGACCCATAGCTAAATATTAGTTGAATTCTCACATGCAGCAGCCTCTTCACTGTACTTCAAGATGTTGTGTGTGAGTTAGGTAATAGTATTTATTTAATAAACTGTAGATAAGTAAACTATCTTTTCTGTTATGTGAACAAAAAAGTTCACTATCAGAAACATTTGACATTTACCCAGGATTGGCAATGTCCTGCCCACTGGAAGCTTGGCTTCCTCCAATGGCATTTTTGTATGTCTGCAATCAAATGAAAATTAATTTAATGAAAAGATTATAACATAACCAAAGTAATGTGAAAACCCAATATCTGAGCAGCACTGCAAATTTTGGCAATCTCTTGAGATTTTGGCAGTTTTATATTTTTATTTTGACCATTGCACCAAGGACAATCCCCTTGCAGAATGTTGATGTTCTTTAGACCAGACATTGAGAACCATTGATTTAATGCAATTAGTAAGCTCAGTTTGTGAGTTTGGAGCAAAGACTGTATTTGAAATATTGGTGATACAGTAAAGGAAAAGGCCAAGTTTAATTCATAACATTTTTTCATTGAAAAACAGGGTTTTTCAAGGCAGTGAAAATGTCCCAGTAGAATGTCCTATCAATTCTGTATTACAGCCTGCTGGATTGTTCTATGTTACATTTTAACCTGGTTTCATTTTCCAATTTATTATTTCTTATATTTAAAAGAAAGGCATGATAGTTGTTTAGTTGTGAGTTCTGACTGAGTAAGGACACACATATTCTGTTGGGAACAATTTTGGGTTTTTCCTTCTCGATGGATCTATAGTGTAAGTGCTAGCAGAACTGGGAGTGTGGCAACTATTTATCTTTCATTAGGAGGGGAAAAAAGGACTCTAAGAAACTTTTGTATATGTACAAGACTCTGTGGGCTCTTGGCCCTTGCTTTCTTTTTAGAAAGAGAGAGAGGGAAAAATAATAATTTGCTGACAACAACTGCCAAGCTGTTTCTTGCAGACCAGAAAAGGTATGCTCTAATTTTAACAAGCTGTCCAGACATGGATCTCCTAGAGCACAATTCTGTCCAGTAAAATGGGAAGTAAAACAGATCAGACTGACTCTGATCCTTCCCCCCTGCCAAAAGCCCTATGGAGTAAGGCCAAGACATGTGGTTGGACCCATCTTGGAATGTTCAACCTGGCCTGAATGTTCTGTTGATGCAGATATAACTTCCTAATATATTTATTAATAAATCAAACTAGTTCTAAGTGATCATTTCTTTTACTGCTGTTCTTAAACTTAGGACCTATGTTTTTCTGTGGCACACATTTCCTGATGGCTCAAATTCAAATTTTATTCAGAAGCCATCTCCTCAATTTGTCAAACTTCAGGATACTAAACCTTTAAATACTCTTCTTCCCAGTGTTAGTTTTACATTTTTAACATGAACCTAGTTCAGTATCTCTCTAACCTTTTTACATTATGAAAAAAAAAACAGGGAATGCCCCAAACGTAGTTCAAACAAAAGCCAGGTTATCTGCTGAGGTGGGTAAACAAAAGTCAATATGGCAATCAGGATCACACAGTTAAAGCTCTGCTCATGTTTTACATGCACCACATACTTTTTGAACATAAAAAGGGGCAGGGCTTCAATCATGCAGCCGGTTTTAATTTTTGGCACACCCAGGACAGAGGAATATTTAAGGTGAATTATAAGAATTATTATCTGAAAAACTTTTTAGATAAACTTAAACCTATTATTATTGTTTATTGTTTATTGTTCGAATTTATATCCCGCCCTTCTCCTTGCGGACTCAGGGCGGCTGACAATCAATTAAAAACACCAATAACAACACAAAATTTAAAATTAATTAAAATGAAATATTTAACTTGTCTAATTTAAAATATAATTAAAAACTCCTCTAAAAACCCCTCTTAAAAATTACCCTAGGCCAGTAATTTTATGAGGGTTGCATGAATGAGCAGTAATTAAAAATCAATCAGTACTTCAAAAGTGACACACCCTGGTATGCTGGAAATTTGCTGGTGTCATAGTTCTGACTAATGAAACACTTCAAAGAACTTCCAGGCATTGTTTATCCTAAAAGCCTTTATTAAAGTGCAACAGAGTGTTGGCACACCATGGATGGATGCCAAGATCTGAATTTCCCTTCCTTTGCATATAACATTCCAGGCTATTCCCCTCCCCTAGTTTGCTGTCATGATTCACATTTTCCAATCAAGCTGGAGGGCAAAGATTCACTTCCGTTCCCTTCCCGCGCGCAGTCCTTATCTTTCTTCTCCCCCCCACCATCATCTGAATTAACTCTAAAAATACCAGACAGTTCTGCATATCTTGTCAAAGCAATAATATCCAATATTAGCAGCGTTGATATCCGGCCCCCCTTACAAAAAGGATAGGTCCTGTATGTGAACAAAAGCATATGTCAGGGATTATCCCTTGGTTTGTTGGGGTTTTTCTCATGAAACATTTTGATGAGTCGGTCAGCCTTCACATCGTTAGATTTCACCCAAGTAGCCTCGGACAGCGAGTACCCCTTCCATTGTACTAGGTACTTTCCCTTTAAAAATTCTACAGTCAAGAATACGTTTCACTTCATAGTGGGTCTGTCCTGCAACTACGAGGGGCCCGGGTGCCTTCTTAGGGGGAGGTCTTAAAGTGGAGCCCTGATAAGGTTTCAACAAGCTGCAATGGAAGACAGGGTGAATCCTCCCTAAAAGCCTAGGGAGTTTCAATTCTACTGTGACGGGGTTGATGATCCTTACTATGGGGAAAGGCCCGAAGAATTTTGGTCCCAATTTCTTACTGGGCAATTTGAGGCGTAAATATTTAGTTGACAGATAAACCTTCTCCCCAACTTGGAATGTTCTTTGGGGAGCCCTCTTTTTATCAGCCTGCTTTTTGTAGGTCTTGGAAGACTTTTTTAACGCAGCTTTCGTGTTTCTCCAAACTTCTTCCCACCCCCTCACCCATTGATCAAGTGTCTGGGAGGCGGAGGGCACCTGACAATATTCAGGTATTGGGCTGAACTCTTTTCCCGTGGCTACTCTGAAAGGCATGTAGCCGGTACTGCTGTGAACAGAATTATTGTACGCCACCTCTACGAAGGGGAGGAGGTCAGTCCAATTTGTCTGTTGGTAGGAAACGTAGCATCTGAGGTATTGCTCCACCATTTTGTTAGAGGATTCTGCAGCACCATTGGTGGCTGGATGAAAAGCAGATTATAAGCCTTGAGATGATCCAATTAATTTAAGAAAACTCCTCCAAAACTGCACTGTGAACTGCCGAAATTATTCGCTTAGGGGTGCCATGCAGCCAGTAGATACAATATGTTTCAGGAACAATTTAGTCAGTCGTTGGGCAGATGGGAGTCTTTTGCAGGCGGTGAAATGAGCCTGCTTCGAGAACAGATCTATCACAGTCCATATGACAGTATTTCCTCTACTTTCAGGTAGGTCTACTATAAAGTCCATAGCTATTTCTTCCCATGGTTGAGAAGGGTCTGCCACCAGCTGCAGTAACCCAGGGGTTTTCCCTGGGATTCTTTTCATTGTGGCACATACAGTACAACTTTTTACATAGTTTTCCATATCCTGTTTCAGCCCCGGCCACCAAAATTGCCGGTGGGTGAGGTGGAGAGTTTTCAAATATCCAAAGTGTCCAGCCTGTTTAACATCATGGCTGTGTTTGAGAGCATTAAGACAGAGGGCTTCAGATAAATACAGTTCCCCCCCTTGTAAGCCAAGGGTTTTGTGAAAAGAATTCAAAAGACTTCAGAATGTTTTTCTCAATAACGATACAGCAAACCATATTATTCTCCATATAGGGATACTTACAATTTATGTTCGGAGGAAATTATCCCTATGAAGGGAAAAATAACATTATTTTAGATCGATTACTCTGAGTATTGTAACGCTGCCTCATTTTGAACATTGCTCTAAATTCTTTCCTCTCTATTAGCCATGAAAGTAGCATGGTATTTGTTCTGTTTCGTTCGCAAAGGCAGGAGACAGACTGTATGGTCCCGGGTATTCACGTGTCTGCCCAGGCCTTTTAGCAGCCTCCTGCACTTGCTGAATGACTCAGCAGGCCCAGGACATAACACCCCTCCCCTCTTATTTCAAAACATAATACTTTACTATTACACAGATAATACCTTATCAATCCATTATTTCTCCTACAAGGATATTTACTATTATGCATGACTATAACTGAACACTTGTTCTTTTGAGCGCGTTCTGATTTCTAAGTGACCTTAAACTTGTCCACATGCTGACAGGCATCTTACGTAGTCTTGTAAGTGTTTGGGTGGTCCTCTTGCTCGCTCTGACCTTTTTGGAGTGGTTGTGATGGCCTGGCCTGCAAACTCGCCTGCCAAGCTCAACAGGCCAGGACTGTGATGCCCCCTAGCCTCAGGCGACCTCCCCTGCTGCTGACTGGCTGGATCCTCTGAACCCAAACCAGAGTTCCTTGGCAATGTGGAATTCCCCAAATCCAGTGGTGGGGTGGAATTCCCCAAGTCCACAATGGACCCCTCTTGGGAGGACTGTCCCTTGAGCCCAAGACCAGCAGCTGGATAGGCCCGGCAGACCGGTTGCGAGCAATGTCCCATTGACCCGGTACCCGAGTCAGGAGTGCCAGAGTCAGGAGCCGCCTCCATGGCAAAACCCCCTTCTGGTGCCTGGGACATTCCACTTTTGCGGAGGGACTGTGGTCCATGATTGTAATCGTGGTCCTCCTCCCCCCCCGAGAGCAGAGCCAGGAGCGGAAGTGTGGCTGGGAAGCCTCCAGCACAGTTGATCAATGTGTCGCCGGATCACCCGACCATCATCCAAGGCCACTTCGTATGAGAGTGGCCCAGAGACCTTGCATACCACTGCTGTCACCCAGGGCCATAGTTCCTTGCCCAGACTGGATTGCCCACCTGAAGTCTGCTAGGTGCCCATGGCTGTGACACCTGTGACGCCACCCGGTCTGGGTGCAACCTGTCCAGTTTAGTAATGAGCCTGCGACCCCAGCGGAGTTCAGCTGGGCTCTTCCCAGTGGCTGTGCATGGTGTGGTGTGGTGTGAGAAGAGAAAGTCAGCCAACCTGTGATGCCAGTTCCCATGAGTTATTTTCTTTAACGCATCTTTGGTGGTGCACACCATTTGCTCAGCCTGGCCATTGGAAGCTGGATGAAACGGTGCAAATGTGGCATGACGAATCATGTTGGCCCATAAAGAAAGTCATGGAATTTCTTTATGCCAGCCACTATGGCCAAGGCTTCCCTATCTTTCTGCGCGTAATTATGTTCACCAGATGATAGGGTCCTAGAATAGTAGGCTATAGGGACTTGTGTCCCATCAGCCTTCAAGTGGCTCAACACAGCCCCAATCCCGTAAGAGGATGCATCACAGGCTATGCATACAGGCAATTGCTCATTGAAATGCGGTAGAACCACATTTGAAGATAGCAAGGCCTTGACCTCTGCAAAACTCCTTTTGTGGACCTTTGTCCACAGCCATGAAGCTATTTATCCAAGAGCCGGTGTAATGGCTCAGCCACTGCAGCTTTGTGAGGGAGGAATGAATGGTAAAGTTTAACAGTCCCAGAAAAGCCTGGAGTTCGCTTTTGGACTTGGGACTTGGGGCCTGCTGAATTGCTTTAAGCTTAGATTCAGCAGGATGGATGCCTTCAGCATCAATATGGAACCCCAGAAACTCTGTTGAAGTGACCCCAATTTTACATTTGTCTTATTTTAACTTCAACCCCACTTGGCGGAAACACAGCAATACTGCTCTAAGCCTTTCAGCCAGATTTTCAGATGATTCCCCAGTGATGAGGACATCATCAAAGTATGGAAATGGGAGGCCCCTTGTACGAGCCAAGCTCTGAACTGAACACATCAGCAAACTCCTTGCAAATTTCTGCAAGGCCAGTCGTTTGCACACTGTGAAGTCCAGTCACTTGGATTCCCAGGGCCTCGAACCAATCGAGTCCAATAAGACTCGTACAATCACCCCCAACTACCACCACATCTAAGAATCCCTTGAAATTCCTATGCTGCACTTGGATCGTGGCTTCCCCCTTCACGCTGATTCGGGAATTCTGGAAGTCAGTGAGAATCAGATTCGACGGCCTGAGTTTAACTCGCTGGCCGCTTCTACAACAAATCTTTTTAAAAGTGTCCTGAGAGATAAAGCAGATCCGGTGTCCAACTCCATCCCTTGCAACCTCACATCAATGTGAAGCTTCTTTCTAAGCGGCCTAGGAGCCCCTGTTTTGAAAATGCTTCTGTGTGACGCGCAGAAACCCACCCTATGTTGGCTGGGGACCCTGGTACCTTTCTGAAGCAATTCTTCCGAAGGCTTGTCCTTCGGGCGACCCAAATAGACAGAGGCAATGTGGCCTTGCCTGCCACATGCCCGGCAAATGGCGGAGCGGAACCAGCAGTCGGAGCGCTTGTGGCATCCTCCACATCCGAAACACCGAGGGAATAAAGTTGCCTTGTCAGAACGTTCTTGAGGCCTCTTCTCCACTGGCTGCTTTAGTCTGTCCACCTCCATCTCTGGATCCTGTTCGGATTCTTCTCAAGCGACCTCTTGATGGACGGAGACCGTCGTTGGAGGGTTCTTGGCGAGCTGCAAGGCCTTCACAGCTCCGCTCGCTGCTTCTTCAGCTGCAATTTCTCTTAAAGCATCTTGGAAAGAGACGTCTTCTTTTGCAAAGATTTTCTGTTGCAGCTCACGACTTCTCAGTCCACAGACTAAACGATCCCGAAGTCTCTCTTCCAGGTCCTTGAATTCGCATGGCCTAGCTGCTTGTGGTAATGTAGCAATAAAGTCCGCAGCAGACTCACCAGGCCTCTGGTCCATCTGCTCGAATGCGTGTCGCCATGCAATCACCGAAAGCTTCGGTTCAAAATGTTCATGCAGCATCTTCTTCAGCTCAGCATAAGCGATGGATTCAAGTGGTGCTGGGGCGACCAGATTTTCTGCAATATCAAAAGTCTCCTGCCCACAGACACACAATAACATAGCAGCTTTAAGGCCGTCTTCCCTCACTTGGTTTACTCGGAAGTAATTCTCTACCCAAGCAACGTAGGAACTCCAGCGTTCTGGATGAGCTGTGTCGAATTCAGAGAGACGACCGATTTTGGACATCGTTGCTGTCCGGTAGCCTCGACAACGCCTCATGCTGCAATGGCTGAAGAAGGGGTCCCTTCACCAACCTCTCCTCCAGCGTTCTTGTACTGGCAGGCAGGGTCGCTTCTTCGGGACGCCGGACTTCTCAGCTCTTCAGGCCTTCCGTGGTGAGTCAGCCTCTCTTTCATTGTTTTGTTTGCAGCACAATCCCACCCTCGTCACCAATGTTCTGTTTTGTTCGCAAAGGCATTGAGACGAGGCAAAGAAGTAAAACAGTCTTCTCTTTATTTTCTCCAACAGAACCAAAACAAAATGCCGCAGATTGTTCTTATACCCCCTTGCAGGGACAGTCGCAGCCAATCAGTGCAAGGCATTTCTCCCGCCTTGCGCATGCGCACAAGGCAGGAGACAGCCTATCTGATCCCGGGCATTCATGTGTCTGCCCAGGCCTTTCAGCAGCCTCCTGCACCTGCTGAATGACTCAGCAGGCCCAGGACATAACAGTATTTATACGTTCACCAGTAAGGAGAACTATTTATTTGAAATAATTGGTTCAGGCTTAAGGAGGAAAACACATATATGGTCATGGTAACTGGTGCCTTCCATAAATTTGTAAAGCTAATTTTGTACTCCAGTCAGCATAACCAGTGGGATTTATGAGAGAGTTTTATGTGGCCAATAATTGGGATTTAAGCAACTATGTCAACATGTATCAATATGCAACGTGGGCAATTACACCATTATGAATCTGCAAGATGTTACTTTGGACGTCAAAGACATTCCAAATTACTTGCTCAAGGAAAGAACAACAATCCTTTAAATGCCCTTTGTGTGGCTAAAATGGTTCAGTCATTAAAATTGTTTAGCTGGTGATTGTGTTTAATTTCAAAAACTCAGCTCAGTTAATGTTATTTAGATGCATAGAAAGCAACGTGTAAACCTTGGCAGAAAAATCTGGCCGCATTTGGTGCAAAGGTGTTGTAGGCAGGTCTTGGTATAGACTGACAAGGTCAAAGTGGATATAAGAGAACAGAAAAACAGGCAGAAACATACTTTCTGGTGAAATGAGGATTTAATGAGGAGCATAAAGGGTAGTATGAAATATCACTTCCAGATGTTTGAGAGAACCACGTGTTCAACAGAAGGAAGATTAGACTCTTCAAGCTATAACTCAGAATCTGTGTGGGTTGGCAGACTAACTCATGACTCTTACAATAAATAAACCATTTGAGTGTTTCAAAAATTGAAAATTTGAGAGGAGGGAAATAGAAGAAATACTGTTTCTACAATTAGTAAATTGCCTACAAAGGCAAAGTCCCTCCCTCCCTCCCTTCCTTCCTCCCTTCCTTCCTTCCTCATGACACATATTTAGTAATTCTGGATCATTTCATGAGCATGTTTGAAAATCTAACTCTCTTGATGAAAAGATTCTTGGCAAAATTCACTGCAGCTGTATCTAACCTTATGTTTTCTAATTTTGATGGTATTACAACTCCCATAATTCCCAGCCAAGGAATTGAGTCATAGTTCCAATGCATCTGAAGGGCATCAGTCTGGGAAAGATAGTTCTAGTGCATGAGAAGAACACTGTTGTATAGTATTATTTATGTAGAAAAAGAAAATATATAATTAGGCTACTGCATAACTAACCCTGTTAAGGTAAGGCACTATATTTTCATGTGTATTTTTTTCATGTTATGTATATAAAATATAGATAGCTACAGTTTGTTACAAGAAAAAATAATATGGCCAGGCTGATATCACGTGACTGCTAATGGCTTCCTTAAAGTGTTGTATGTCTTAGAAGGATCTGCTAGTCAATATCAAAATATCTTGCATTATTGATGAAATCAAATGGGTTCTTTCAAAGCAAAAATCTGTTTTGATTCTTTGATCCTTTCCTGTGCAACTTATCAGCATACTGTCAAGGCTTTTTAGTCCTTCAAATATTGAACATTTGTCTTGCTGGCAAACAAAGGACTGGGGTCAGAAACATATTTGCTATTACTTGGTTTTTATTTCTGCTGAGAAAAATGGGCCATTTCACCGCATTCAGATTTGTCTTTTTTTCTTTCTCTTTTTTTTCAATAGCTGGATTGTTCAAAAAAGTAGTAAATGGCTGTTGTTACTGTTAATAATTACAAAGAGATCCTATATCAGACATCTGGCTTGCAAACTGCAAATTATGTACAGTTAAAATCCACAACATCCCTTGACCTGGTTTTATAAGGCAGCCAGAGAATCGCTTTCTGTGATTTGCCCATGGTAAAATTGTTCAACTATCTTTGTATTTAAGATAACAAATAATATAAGAAGCTAACCACTATTAATGAATCTTAAAACTGATAACCCCTGCTTTATGTAATGGTAACAGTTATAGTTTGATATGATGTCAAGGGTTGAGTTTCCTTCTTTTTCCTCCTGTGTTAAGTAATAGACTTTGAAAGGCACCAACTTTGCTGGACAAATATTAGAGAGAAGTCCACATATGGATTTCAACAACTTAGGGGTTTTTTATTAATAGAAATTTTTTAACAGAAAGCTGTTAAGTCCTTCCAGAAATTAAAGGGAACCATAAAAACAACAACCCCTTTTTAAAGGGATGTTACCTGGAGCCCACTATAGATGGTCTGTAAATGGGTGTAAGGCACTCAATATATGTCAAGTTTCTCTCAGATTCCCTTGAACTAGAAGGTCTCAAGCAAGGTTCAAGAACACAAAATTTGATAAGAAATGTTTTATTATAGACTCTAGAAAAATTGCTAGTGCAAAGAAAATTGACAAGTGAAGACTATAACATTCAAGCCACTTATATAGTTGATCTGAAGTTCAAACCTTATGTCTCTTCCTTATGTCCATGTGGCCTAATGAAATGAGAATCATTTATCAGCTTTCAGGTCCTTTGCTTCTCACCTTGCCCAAATTAGTCTACACCATACCTTCCAAATTGAATTAAATTCCATATCAGATTTACTTTGGAAACAAGAAATTATTTTCACATGGTAATCTTATGTGCCTAGATTGTTGATAAACTTTTGAATTAGAATTGGATGTTTGGATTTGGCATTGTTTTGCTGTGCTACTTTAATTTATATGCTTCCAGTTTTGATGTTGCAGCTAAATGGGTGCAGGAAGACGGGGCTCCATATTTCATGTTTAGTTTCGCCCTGCTGGGGGACCCTGGAAAGGATCGAAAGTCGTCCCGTAGAGGTGGCAAGCAAGGAGGGGACTCTCGTTGATCGTGGGGGGTGTGTGGCAGTCCTCCTGTTTGATCCGAGGAAGCCCTCCAAACTGGCGGGGGGGAAGACTGGCTGCATTCATGTAGCCCAGGGGTGTCAAACTGCCGGCCCGCGGGCCAGATGTGTCACACCAAAACCGTGCCCACCTCATTGCCGGCAATAGGGAAAAAATCATGATACATCATGACACGTCACGTGATGTTGCTAGTTTGACACCCTTGATGTAGCCAGTCCAAAGCTGCTGACAACGGAAGTCAACACGCACTACCAAGCAACTTTACAGCAACGTGGATGAAACTGGGTGAGACCTGATCCTTTCTTTATGATTGTAAGACCTCTTCCTAAAAATTTGCCCAAAGCACTCCCCCCGATGAAAGAGGGAAAGGGAATTTCCGCCCCATTCCCCCAGAAAAGAAAAGCAGTGAATTAATTACTTGGGGAAAATGGCGAAACCCATAAGACCTATTTGGAATTAATATATACATACAGATTAAAAATTTGGGGACTAAAAGGGTTTTTAAGACCTTTTTTTTAAAGAAAAAGACTTGAAAAGTTTATACTATAAGTTCTGGATCTAAAAACTGAAAAGTGGCATTGATGACATCTAGTGGTAAATTATGGCACTGCAACTTATTTATGCCTAAAAGAAACCTGGCTTGAAGCCCAGGATTTGATAAGACTTAGGCTGGTCTTGGAAGCTTTTACTACTGAGAATTTCAGCTGAGAAAAAAGGAACAGGCTTGAGGGCTGCTTATCTGTGTGGCAGAGATGATAAATATTCTAAATTTGGCCTATCTGAATTTTGAACATAAATACTGACTTTTAGAACTGTATTGTGAATTATTTTCTTGTAAAAGAAACATATGGAACACTTTGGATTATAAATCTTGATTGTTGAATAACCTTAAATGGTTCTTTTTTCTCCCTGGACAGAAATGATATATTTCTTACTGGACAGAAAAATTTGAATTTTACCTATATCTGCTTAGGGTAGACTCAGGAACAGACAGTTGGTGGGATAAATCTATAAAGGTTACTTATAAAAAAAATAAAAAAAAATAAACTGGATATTCCATACTCAGCATTAAATAGCAAAACATCATCTTTAACATCTGTTCCCAGTAACTTTAACTTGCCATATCACCAAGAAATTACTGATAAAACACAGAAATTCTCTCCATGATGAAATTAATACAAAAAACAATTACTTTAGCTTGTGAGCAGGTTAATAATAACACAAAAGAGATAAAAAAACAATTTTCTAACCTAAATCTATAAACTCAGAAAACAACTACAAAGAAGGAACCAGAAACCCAGAAAATAGAAGGAAAACTAGAGAATGCTGACACAAACATTGATGATCTAAAGAAAAAAACTAATGACCAGACTCAGATAAATGAAAACTTAGAAGACGCAATGATAATACGACATTTTATAAACCAAGGTTTCAGAACATACTGGATAACAAGGAAGGAGAGCTGATGGAATGGAAGATAAAGTTGTTAACAGAAGTGTGGGGAACTGGAGAAGGAGGGAGGTGGTTTAATGAATATCAATGGGCTAGCTCTTCTAAAAACACTTTAACCAAATTGTTTCTCATCTTTCAAATAATATATACAAAAATAGAGGAAAAATTATTTGATGATCCAAATGCATTGACTTGGAAAGTTAGTTGGCAAAGAAAGAAAGGTAGCTTGATATGAAAAGGGAAGTAAGAATATGTTAAGAATTTTGAATAAGGGATGCTTTTGGTTGCCCAAATACAACTTGTTTCAAAATTATAAATGATTGGGATACTTTGAACATGGATGG